TTAGTAGGTCTATGTTGAACTTCAAATACGCTTCCAAATGTGTGAGACCTTGTAGATAAGGTACAATAGAAAGTTACTTTCGGTGTATAGTTCGTAGATATGAGATATTGGCACTAAATGATCCGCACATAAACTGCATAGAAGGTAAACTATATCTTAGGCAGTTGCAAATTAAAATGATATATTTTATTTTTATCAACTTTTAACAAGCACAAAAGCGCTCAAATACCCACAGCTTGTCTATGCATGCGCCATATGCATATTACTGCTGGGTTTGAACCGACGAACTGCCACTTGTTAGTCCGACGCTCAGTCATTTAAGCCACACAGGCTCGTGTCGGTTCTCAGGGCACATTCATAACGAACTATGATTAACCATGCCCCAAAAGAAAACTTGATTAAAAATTTAAGCCTCGTAGCTTTTACGGTTTGGTTAATCTGCAAGGCATATAAATTAAAATCTATAGCTTGAATCTGATTTTACTTTTGTTGGATATATGAAAATATCTACAATAGACTATAAAAAGTGCTTGAGAAACTGCTTAATGTTAGAGCATAGAAATTGTAATTACTTAAATGATCTTTAAATTTGAGTATTGCTCATGCAAGGTGTTCTTGGAATTGTTTGCCATACTGGCACAGAAAAAAAAACCACACACACGCATTTGAAATGTCTATTTGGATAAGCTAAACAGTTTCGTGGTTTTAGTGCACTTGGATCGGATAATGTGTCCGGCCACTTCACTGACACATAAACTGACGGCGGGCAGTAAACAGAGAACAACAGATACTCAGATACAAATACAGATACTTAGATACTCAGATACTCAGTTACTTGAGCCCAAGATTGAGGAGCTCAGATTGAAAATAAACGACAGCTGGCTGGCTGGCATCTAATTTTAGATGCCTAGCTTGGTGCAACAGATAAATTGGACATTGTACGAACATCAATTGGATTGTGCCCGTAAAGATGAGTATATGGCGACACGTGTACGTGTATGAGACGAAGAGGGAAGGAGCGGCAGAAGAGGGGTACACCTTAAAAAGCATCTATGATTTTTTGTTTTTTTTTCGCCTAATGTTTGCCCGACCTCACTCTGGGTACACCTCCTGCCGCTTTGCTTTGGCCGCACATAAATGCTAATTAAATAAACAAACAGCTCAGAAAACTATTTGGTCTACAAAAAGCTGACGAGTTGCGCTGCGCTGCGTTCCGTTCGTTTCGACTTTGATCGTATCGAGTTGGGTGTGCGTTGGGTTGTTGCCTTGCTTTGGACTGGATTGGATTGTGTTGAGTTTGTTTAGTTAGCAATTTGAATTTTTTTTTTTTTAAATATACGCATACGTATTTTGCACGCTTTCTGGCCTAATGGCCTTCACTCACCTGTACGCGCGCTCTCTCTCCCTCTCTCTCTCTCTCTCTCTCTGCCCCCTTCTTTGAAAAACTCTCTTCTGCATTCTCCGTGTTTCTGACTCACCTTTGCAGGTGTTGACATTCAAGTGGTCAGTTTCTGTTTAAAAAACTCTTAACTCCTAACGATGTATCTCAATTATGCAACTGGCATTCGCTGGATATCTCGGACATTGGGTTTATCGCAGATAATAGCTCAGTTTCATTAAATATGTATGTGTGTGTGTGTGTGTGTCTTTTTATTTATTTATTTATTTGATCTATTGATTTTCGAATAATATTTGATACCGTCAAATCAATAAACATATATATTTGCTCACAATTTTTATATACTCATAGAACAGACATTTTTGTTACTGTCGAAAGAATTGCCAAAAAAATATAAATAAATAAATCAATCGGAGCCATGCCTTGAAGCTTCGTTCGAGGCATTTTTTAAATATATTTTGAGTTTTATAAGGTTTTAGGTAAATAAAATAAACTGTTTTGTTTTTATTAGAAAACAGAGACGAGCCTAGATTGAAATTCTTGGACAGAGCGTAAGGACGAGGCGTTAGTTCAAGTCCTAAACCAAACTTTATATACTTATATATATATATTTATGGAGCTGGACTTGTAATGTATTTGATTATTCTTGCCTACAACTTAAGCTCTATGTATTATTCATCTTCGATCAAATCTAGAGTATAAAAACCGAATGAAATCGTCCTACAGACAATTTTTAATGGAAAATATTTTGAACCGAACCGCTTTGTAGCTGGAATTCCAATTTATTTTCTTTGAACCAAACAAGTTGTCAAATAGAAAAACAGCTGAACCTTAACCTGAAGCAAATGATATTTTGTTTAAAAATGGCTTGGTTCGAAATTAAAAAACTTGTGGGGGGATACGAAACGGAAAAGAATAAAAGAATAATTGAGTTTGATTGCTTGCTTCGAATTTGGAAAATAAATGACATCACGAAGCAAACCTCAAGTCAGGAAGTTGGTTCGAGCTGTGAAGAAAAGCGCCCTCTTCTTGTTTAGTAAGCGGCCCTGTTTTGAGTATTTAGTAGGGAAAACTAGGGCTACAGTAAATTGGAAAACAACAAACACAGCTGAATCCGAGCCCAATGTGCGAGTGACCACTGTATCTTATCTGGTCTGCGCACTGGCTTTGATCCATTTAATGCCCAGAGGTTTCTTTAAAGCCCAGAGCAAACAGGGCTCCTTTAACAGCACTTACCTGTTGCTCCAGTCAGTGGCCCGTAGGTGTGTGTTAAGGTGTTGTTGTCTTCAACTTTGCCTATGCGAGATGCCTTATGCTGTGCCAGCAGATTTCGGTGTGGTGCGTTGTTGTCGGTTGACGTTTGTCGGTTGAAGGTTGATAATTTTGCACAATTCGCACGCGAAAGTCGAGACATAGACAGAGACGGACGGCACCAGAAAAGGAGCGACGACCGGACGGATAAGCAAGTGTCTCTGTCAACGTCTCTGACTCTGTGGCAGTGTCAGTGTCGCGTTGCGTCGCAGTCGCGTCAAGCGCGACTGTGTCTGTCTGCCTGTCTGGCGGAGGAGGAGGTGGAGGAGGAGGTGGTGCCGGCGCTGGGCAGGAAATGCGAGACTTTGAGACACACACGCACACACACACACAGAGAGAGAGAGGAGCGCGCGAAACACGAGCAAAATTATGAATCCGAAGCAATTCGAAAATGCTTTTGCAGGCCAAACAGTTTAATATGTCGAACAATTTGCAACTGGCAAACACATCAACAACAACAACAACAGCAGCAAACACAACAGTAACAACAACAACAACAACAACAGGAACAATAGCAGCAGCAACAGTTGTTCAACTGTTGACAATTAGACGGCGTTGGGGCAATTAATGTGCTGGGCTTTCAACTTGAACCGATGCAAAGACAACACACACATTCGCACAATCACACACACACACACACGCACACACAGTTAGTGAAACATGCGCTGTTTAATTATTTTTAGCTGTTGTTGTTGCTTTTCTTGCTTTTATTGCCGCTGTTACGACGTTAAGTTCGCAAAGGTCGATCCAAAAAAACTTGCCTACATATAGCAACAGCTTGTTATGTGCACATTTCATTATATTGCCATTTACTTAAATTAATATACATACATATATGTATATTTGAAATTTGTTAAATTTTTTAATTTCACTTTTCTTCTTCTTTTTTTTTTTGCAGAATTTTAACAATTACCAAAAAGAAAACGTAATTTTTGTGGCTCGTTGGTACGTTTTGGTGCTTGGTGGTTGCTCACTGCGCTCAACGTGTGTGTATGTGTGTGTGTGTGTGTGTGTGTGGACGTGTGTGCGTGTATGCAACAAGAACAAACGTCAAAAAACGCTGAATTCCGTTGAAGAACTAACCGAACGAGCGGGCTGAGTCGGCGCCCGGTGTTCCGATGGCCCAACTTGGCCGCAGAGCGATCCACTGAGAGAGCCGCAGAGAGAAATCGACCGCGCGAGAGAGATAGAGGGAGAGACATACATACACAAACATGACAGACCGGCACAGCTACCTTTGCTGCATAGTAACTCTCAGACGCGCCACACTCACTAGCTGTATGTGCGTGCGTGTGTGTGTGAGTGTTTGCCTGCGTGTGGCTGTGAGAGATCTGCGTAGCTGATAGCAACAGTCGGTCGAGGGAGCGCGCTACAAACACCACTTCACTCTTTTCCAACGTCCCTGCCGCTGCTGCCCGCTGCGCTGCCGAGTGTCTTGTGGTGCTTACGTCGATGCGAAATGGTCATACGCAACATGTGGCTCAATCTGAATCAGAAGCAGGTCCGAATCATTTGTCTGTCTCTGTTTATAGTTCGCAGAATCAGCCACAAATCATTAAAAGTGGCATCAAGTTGAACAAAAAACAAAAAAAATGTTCAAAGCTTGATAAGGGGATACAAATATATGTACATAGGCGCTATTCGCCCATAAATTTGAATTTGAATTTTCAATTGCTGATAAGCTGCTAGTAATTAGAGCATCGATTGATGCCCCATATGCTGCAGGTGGCAATTTGATTGCTTAAATACAATTGGCTTGGGAATTCGTAAAATATTCTAAGACTTACCGATTTTTAAGAAACAATCGAACTTACAATTCACAGTCAAAGCTCTAATAATGGAGACCAGGCTGGACACCGAAGGTGTTTGCCATTGATCTGTTCAATAAGAAAATTACTTATCACTTCATATTGCAATACATTGCATAATGTACTTCCCGTGCATGTCCTACAGGGTGTAAATTAGTTTCAAACAGTCTTTTTTTAAAGGTTTGTGTCTGGGCTACTCAGGAGAAATATAGGAAAAACTCAGCAGCCTTTTGGGCTTCCCCCCGATAGGGTCATTTAAAAATTTAAAAATGTTCGTGACAATTAAGAAACTAATTTTCTAATAGCTATGCTTAAAACAAAAAAAAAAAAAAAAAACTGCAAGCAATATTGCAAAAATGTATTTGTTTTTGGTGCTGCCAGACTTTTCGGTGTGCAGATGTTAAATGGCAGCTCTGAAAAGCAACGGTTAATTTCGTAAATATTGAAAAAATGTGTTCACGTGTTACTTGTTAATTTTGTTATATCTACTTTGTGTAAAAATTAAACCGCAATTAAGAGAGAAAAAAAAAAACATGAAATTGGTGCTGTGCCTGCTATTGTACGCGACTTGCAGCCGCAATGGCGAAGCCAACAGTACCACCAAGCCTCTCTCCGCCACGTCGGTTCAACGAGCTGAGGTGGATAAGCTGCGCAGTGAACTCAACGCCGCATTTGATGCGGGCGAAGAGACGCCCGTAAGTAGTAGATCCAAGCAATGAGGATTATTGATCATTTGTGAATGCCTTACAGGAGGGCGTCATAGTGCAGCCGGAGTGGACCAAGCACGGCAGCAAACCCAGTGCCAGTGGCAAACCCAGCAAAGTTATAGTCAACGAAGCGTCACTAAAAGCAGCGGAGGCGCTTCGCTCTGAGATAAATGACGCAGTCGCCAAGCAGGGGCAACCAGAGGAAGTGCGTCAGCTCGAGGCGGCCGTTAAAGCTAAAACAGGCGGAACACAGAATGAAGCAATTGTTAGCAGTACGCGCGATGAGATGCTGGGCAGCAGTCAGCCGGATCAGGCTGGTCAGGCCAATGTGGTTGATGCCACACCGATGGACATTGATCTGGCGCAGTTACAGCAACTGCAATTGTCCAAGCGGCGGACGCGCGAAATGCTTGTGCTGAGTCGCATTGAGGAAAATCTACAGTTTATGATCGGAGCAGATGTGTCGCATTGGCTGCAGCTGCAGCAGAATGGTAGCGTCTATTTCCTGGGTCGACGCAACTATGATTTGTTGCTATTGGAGCAACAAGCTCTTATTTCTGGCGCCAATTTTCACAGCTATGCAGCGCTTCAACCATTGCCCGTGCCGGCGGGCATTGATGCGATACTTAGCTACGAACGCTGGAATAGGCAGGCACAGCTGCAGGAGAGTGTGGTGCTGCTGGCCACGCAACAGCAGTTGCTGTGGTATCGCTTAGAGGCGAATAGCGGCCTGAAACAGTTCTGGCACTGGCCGGTGGGCAGCGACATTGATAAGCTGTTGGCGTTTGTTGTGGAGAACCGTGAGTATCTGGTCCTGATGCACAATCGTACACTCAGCATTTATGCCCATGATGTGGATGGCCTGGAATTCTGGATTGTGCAACGCCTGCAGTTGGAGCAGACGATTACGGCGCTGGCCGTGCAGGACACGGGTCGGGATCTATTGCTTGCCGTAGGTCAGTCTGATGAGGCGCTCATCTATGCACATAATATGCGTGAGCTGGCGCTGGATGCGGGCCTGCAGCTGCAGCTGCGACAACGGCTGGAAGCACCAAAGATCGCCGACATAGCCGCTTTCCAAATGGGCGGTCGCAACTATCTGGCTTTGGGCGGTCTGCGACCACAGATACTCGCCTATGTACAGGGCCAGCTCGTGCCTAGAACGCTTCTCGGACAGAACTTTGGTCTGGTCGAGCTATTTTTGCCAGTACCCGTGCGCAGCTATCGGGATGATCTGTTGCTGCTTGTGCAGCATCGCGTCTACTTCGACACGCACACTGTGCTTCAGCTGGAGGTGCTCGTCTGGAATGGTGAGGCTTTCGAGGCTAGCCTGCCGGCGCCGTGTGAGCTCGGCACCCAGACACGTTATGGCGCCGGCTGTATGCTGGACGAGCAGCGAGAGGCGGGCTTGGCAGGAGCCGCGCTGCTGCGTCAAATGCAGCCACCGCTGTTACTTGTGCCTCGCCAAGCGGCGGCGTCAGGCCTGTTTCGACTACACACACAGCTGCTGCCTCGCAACTCGGAGCTGCACGATCTGCAGGAAATACACGACTTTATGCGCAATTGGGTAGATGAGCAGGATAAGCTTATTAAACGGGCGGAACAGCTACTCCAAGCACCAGAAGCGGACTTTATTCACTATGAGGAGCTAGACACACCGTTGCTCATCAATGACGGGGCCATTTTGGAGGCACTGTACGTAAATGATGCACCTTGGACGGCGCATGATGCTACCATAGATCTGCACGAGTTGCTGCAGCAAATCCGTTTGCTAAAGCAAGAACTCATAGGTCTGGATGGCGGACGTACCAAGCGCCAGCCGCAACTCTTTCGTTATGACTATGAGCAGCTGGAATTTGATGTTGTTGAGGTGCAGGAGCTGCACATCGAGCAGCTGAACCATGCGCCATTCTACCTACAGAATGCCACATTGCAGTTCAACGGTTTGATCAATGCGCAGCGCCTGGAGGTGATGCGGCCGCAGCCAATTGAGCAAGCCAAATCCTTACCCTCAAGAACGCAACAGCGCCTGGAATTGGACGCCGATCTCAACTGCGAATTTATCAATGGCTTGGCATGGACACAATTCTTGCAGCAGTTGGCTTGGCGTCAGGAGCCGCTGCAGCTCTCGCAGCTGCGTGTGGCAGGCGTAAGTTGAGCCTAGTTTGGCAATCGCAGCTGCAATCTTTAATCTTGCCCATTACAGGCTGTTGTCTTTGAGGATTCGCTGCATTTGAGCGCGCTTAATGAGCTGAGTTTTCCTGACGACTATCTCTGGTCCCAGGAGAGCTCCACAAGCATCGTTTTCTCGCCCAAACAGTTTACCCAGACGCTGTGTACGTTATGCAATTACCTGTTGTCTGGCCAGAGTCATGCAAATTTCTCCTTTTTTTAGCTGCGAATATGGTGGACACTTTTGGGTCTATCAATGGTTGCGATCCCTCGGATGCGGTTACACTAAGCGATGAACAGGACTGGCCGGGTTGGGTCACCTTTACACAGCTGGAAGTGTCCGAGGAACTAGAGGTGCTTACATTGGCAATCACACAATAAGCAGAATTGTTAATCATTATTGTTTTACTTGGCAGCTCAATGGTAGCGCCCAAGGACGTCAGTTTGAGGAGGCGCCTTTAAATCCCACGCTGACCGATTCGCATCACGTTCATGCCGCCTGTCATTTTTCCCAACTGATTGTCAATGGGCCGCTGCAGCTGCGTGGATTACTGGATAACAGCAGCTTCGATGCGTTGCTGGGTGATCTGGCTCAGCGACCGGTTGATGCCGAGGAGGAGCTGATCATACCAGCAGCCAAGCATGTGCAGCACCTGGCGTTGCCAGTGGATGCTCATGTGCTGGATGGCACACTAAACGGCTTTCCTATTGAGCAGTTTGTGACCAAGCATACAGAGCAAACGCTGCACAATCTGAGCAGTCTAGCGGGATATGTGTACTTTCATAAACTACAGCTCAGCGGCTTCTACGATGGCATCCACCTGGAGCAGCTGCTGGCTCAGGCGTTGCGTGTGGATGCACCTATCATGGCGCCAACTACGCGTCTTCGTTTCGTCAACGAGCCGCAACTGGCAGAGCTTCGGGTGTCCCACATGCTGAACGATGTGCCACTCTCCAGCGGATATCAGACTTTATACGAGCCGCTGCATCTCAGCCAGGCACGTTTTACGCGCCTTCAGGCAGAGCAACTGGATGTAACGCACAACGTGACGGGTCCAGGTCGCCTAAATGGATATCAACTCAGCGAGCTACTTTTGAGTGAGCCGCGCAGGGACACGGTACAAGTGCAGGATTTGATTTTGCCTATGGGCGTGCAGACGTCCAAGCTGCAGGGTATCAATGCCGAACTGCTTCTGGGGTTTCTGCGACAGTTGGATGAGCTGCCGCTGCTTATTCTCCATGGGCAGCTGCAAGTGGATCATATTGCAGTCAGTGGCGCGGTGCTCGTTGATGATACTCTTAACGGACAGAGTGTAGACCAGTTGCAGCGCGACGTTGTCTGGCTTGATCGACCCAATGAGCTGCGCACACGCTGGCGTTTCCAACAAGCGCCCATATTTGCCAGCGATCTGTTGCTCCAGGGCAGTTACAACGAGCGCCTTTTACCCGAACTGCTAGACGATATTGTCTTTCGCCCTGACCAAGATCAGGAACTGCTCATTGTTGGCACCAAGAGCTTTGCGAGCCATGTGCAGATCCTCGACACTCTGCAGCTGCAGGCACTTAACGGCGTGCCCTTCGATCGACTGGCCAATAAGCTGCAACCGCTGGACTTTGCCGGTGAGCTGCGCCTGGAGGGTCGGCTGCATGTCACTCATTTGCAGTTGGAGGGCGCACTTAATGGCCAAGCAATTGGACAGCTGGATAAGCAGCTGCGCTGGGATACAAAGCTGGCTGCCTTTGTGCAGCGTGGTTTAGTACATTTAGCGCAGCAAACACAGCTGCAAGAGCTTACGGTTTTGGGTCATCTGGGCAATCGCAGTCTGGAGCCGCTGCAGGAGTTCTATGATGATTTGCTCGACAAGCGACAACCACAATTGCATCTTGAGGGACACAAGGTATTCACGGGTCGCGTGAGCATCCGTGGTGGAGCTCACATTGTCCAGCTAAATGACATTAATCTCGAGCAGCTACTGCAGCAGCTGATCTTCATCGATGGCAGCATGGAACACAACGAGGTAACTCTGCACACACCGGTGCACTTTGAAGCAGCTGTGCACATGCAGCAGCTGCATGTGGGTCAACTGGTGCTGCAAGGTGAACGCCTCAATGACTGCAATATTACCGAATGGATGCACGACACGCTGCGCGTGGATCGCGACTGGCAAACAGAAAGTAAGTTTCCTATAGTACGATATCCATACAGACCAATATTATACAGTCTAAATCTAATCTTACAGTGCCCGTTAGCTTTGCTCAGGGTTCACTGGACAACAACGCCCTGCTCGTTGGCCAGCTGAACGAGTTAAACCTGACACGTGTTGTTACGCTGCATACGGAGCAAAATCTCAGCTTTCCATTGGTCACCAACGAGCTGCATTTGGCTGATGGGCGAGTGCAGCTGCATGGGCTGGTGAATGGACGCAATCTGTCGGAGGAATATGCCAATACCTTGCTGGTGGGTGTTATCTGATATCTCTATCGAGAAATTCATTGTCAAACTGTGGTTATGCATCAAGAGCGGATGCCTTGTTGATTCGAGCCTTCGGGTATCGAACTAAGCAAAAGGTGTTTCGATTGAATTAACGAAAACACGCTTCGGCTGACGCGATACAGTGCTCAATAAGGAGTCATGTCATGGGCTTATTTTTTGATATAGTCGACATTAAATTTATGCTCCATCAAAATGTATTACTTTTTCATTTCTCAGATAAATGCGCCAAGGGAGCAACACGTGTTCACGCCGCTGCTGATGCAGTCGGTGGATGTGAGTGGGACACTGTTGGCCACTGCACCCATTAACGGTGATCCCAACCTCAACTTAAGCGATGTGGCCACGCTGCACGAGGAACAGTTGCGTCTACAGACGCCGATTAACTTTGTCAGGTTGCATGCGCCGGATTTGCGCACACGCTTGCACATCAATGGCTTCAACTTTAGTGCCTGGCACGAGAAGAGTCTCTGGGCGCAAGGTCGAGCGACCCAAATCATAAGTGGGAACTGGAACGTGCGCTGGCTGCGCGTTAAGCAGCCCCAGCGCCCAGAGCTGCAGGCTCATGAGGTCTACCGGCGCCAGAGCAACGCGTTAGCAGTGCGCTATCGAGAGCTGTGCACGCGGCTGGCTAGGCTCTTTGGTCTGTTGCGTCTGCCCTACCAGGTGAAGCAGCTGCGCCGCAGCTTCGCGCTGAAGCAGGCTCCAGGTCAATCGGATGTGCGTCGCGTTTTTGCGCTGCAGTCGCCGGTGCCGGCTGCTAGCTATCTGCTGATCAACGAGCTGGGCTGCTGGACGCGCATCTATCGCTGGAACGGCACGCACTATACGAGTGCCGGCAGAATCGAGAGCGGACCCATTAATGATGCCACTGTGCTGCAGCAGCGGAACGCCAGCACCAATAACAATGACCAGTTCAGCTTCATGACCAGCTACGAGCTGAGCGATGAGCACGAGGAAGGAGGCTGGAACTGTAGCAGCCTGGCCCATCTGCAAAGCTGGCGCACTAGCGCCAAGACTAAAATCGAGCCAATGGACGTGCCAGCTAGCAAGCTGCAGCAACTACAGCAAAAGCATGAGGCGCAACAGCTGCAGCGTAATAAACCAAGCTATCAGCAGGCCATCAAGTACTTGAGCCGGCCAAGCACTGAGTCACAATTGCGTCCACATCTTGATGCGGGTCACACCCTAAGTCAGGAACAGTACGAGACATTGCGTCAGCGCCTGCTGCAGCATCTCAGCTTTCGTCTACAGACCGAGGTGAACATCACGCAGCTAAGCATTCCCGAGAGCGATCTCTATGACGACGAGCATCTTGTGGAGGACTTCTTACGTCTGATGCAGCAACTGCGCCGTGCTTCGACATCTGGCACTGGGGTGTTTGCATCTTTGCCCACGGACACACTGCCGTTACCGAATAATCCGTCGCGCGTGTTGGCCGCGCGCAGTGCCCAACTAATTTGGCCAGTGCTCGAGGAGCTGAAGGCGCTGCATGGACGGCTTTCGTTCAACGATAGCCTAGCACATGAGCAGCAGCGTGTGCTGGTGCTTCAACTGGAGCGCACTTTGCGTGACGTGTTGCTCCTTGCCAACAACAATGATGGCCATGAAAAAATTGTCGATACAGATGATGATGATACGAAGCGCCTACATGCTGTGATTGAGCGACTGCGTGAGTTGCAACAGGAGCTAGAGGAAGCGCAGCAGTCGGACCTAAACTCAGATGAGGCACGCAGCATCCTATCCATGGAATTGCCCCCTCCGAAGCAACAATGGTTGCCCGTCGAAACAATACGTCTGTATGTGGGTCGTGTGCAGCAAGCCCAGTTGCTCTATGCCCGTCTGACCATTGTCGCTTCAAATGTGCCGCCCATTGCCCCATCGACAGCGCCGGCCGCTCACATCCAGCTGCATCATGCCAATGGCACCCTTTTCCAGTCGCTGGCTGCCGATCATTTGGCGCGCCAGCTAACAGCCTTACGCGTGCGGGATGAAACCCTGCTGGCTTTTATCGAGAGTTGCTGCCGTGTGCGCGTCTTTATTTATCGCGGCATTCAGGGCTTTGTGCCATTCACGCAGTTTCATGTTGAGGAGAATGGCGAGATGGAGCAGCCATATGCACTTCAATTGCTGGCGCTACGCCTGCCATTACAGAGTTCGCCGGGCGCGCTCTATATGCTGGCCGTGGTTCAGTCTCGCCGTATAACCTTTTATGAGCTGGTTATGCCCGGATTCTTTGAGCCTTGGTTACATTGTTAATAGGTTTAAGAATAAATGTGTAATTTGATTTGTTGTTTATGTATTTTTAAGTGTACTGCAATTATTAATCAATATATATTTATATATGTTCCGAAATCCAATTCATGCGTAGCCAACTTAATAAGGTAAATTCATAAATGCGCACCCAACTTAACAAGCTGCCATTCAGTCAAGCACAGACAACTTTACAAGCGAAAGATTTCAAATTGATATGTATATCTATTAAGCAGTCACGTTCAAATAAGAAATCGAAAACAACTACGCCTTAAGAAGCTGAAATGTATTTAAATAAAATAAATACAAATTTAGATATTTAACCCAAAGATTTAGCATATGCAATTCGGTTATAGGTACATAAAACTGACGTCACTTATCGAACCTTTCTTGGTAATCTACAATAGTGAAATAAGAATTTGTTTACATGAAACCAAAATGCCCACATACAAGTTTTTTCAACATTTCCCTCTCCTCTTGGTAGAGTAGGCACCAAGCCTTAGCGCCTAGCTTGACGGCTGTTTGCAAATCAAGATCACTGTTGCGTTTTCGGAACTCCCGAATAAAATGACGAAACGCATTATTTGAGCAATGTGATAAATGCATGTTCCTTGCCTTTGTTTTTGAATTGATTGCCTTCTGCGATTTGCGTGAAGTGGTAATTTTTGTTTTTGCCGCAATTGGTTTTTTTTTCGGTTTCGGTTTTACTTTTTGCTTTGGTTTTGGTTTTGGTTTCTCAGTTGGTATCGTCCTGGTGCTGGCATTTTTAGGGATATACTCGTGTTTGATATAAGCACGAGCCTTCTCCTCATTGTTCTGGCAAGGTAAAGTATTCCTCGACTAGCCAAAATTATGAATAGCTCATTCGATACTCACGAGAAATTGGCTCTTCTGCTCGGGAGTCATCGTATCCCATGTCATTACAGCATTTTGCTCAACCTCATTTTCACTTAGATAGGAGTGGGTATCTTTGAATTTTTCCAAGAATTTTGAGTAGGCCCGAACGTCCTCTTCAATGACAGGTTGTGAACGCGCCGCACCCATTTTTAAAAGAAAACTTTGAAATTTGTCAAGACTTCAAATATAAAATATAAATATTTAAATACGAGAATTTTTCCTTGTTGCTCAATGCACGACAAAATAAAAACGTATAATGAGCTACAAACAAATTCCGCAATGTCACGAGAGATTGACATCAATTTCTTGGCTCACTTCGATCCAATTTAGGGATTAATATAATTTAATATATATAAAATTACCTAAGTGGGCGAAATATATATATATATATAATAGACAGAAAAGACTACGAACCCAGTATGTAAAAGGGAATATTATAAAAGAGACAGTCTATTGTGCCGCAGCTCGACCTCCCTTTTGAATGAGACTAGTTCTTTTGCCCCACTATTGTGAGGTTCATAATCAATATTTACGTAAACCTTAAATAAATGTGACCTGCGCTTGAAACAGTAGGTCGTATAGTTCATATATATATTGCTCACATCTTCATAGCATAAACAGAATCATGTTTAGAAACTGGAAGGTTGTGTGACAGAAATTAAATGGCATAGAGTATACACAGCACAGCATAAGGGAGGCACCATAAAGCTGGTAAGAAATAGGACCTCACTCCAAATTGGAAGCCTTTGGTTACATCCTAAAAACAGCCACCATTAAGATATATATAATAGTGTGGCTCCTAAGGAATGTAACTTTTAGTTAAATTTATTATAAATAATTAACACTAGCAGCTGTGCTTCAATTTGGTACAGATTAAGACTTATAATTTTGCCTGGTGATTTCCAGCCCCGCCCCGCATCGTATGGTTGGCTGGTTCATCAAAGTTGTCATAAGTATATAAACATGCGGCCGAACGGTTGCCGTCTTATTTCGTCGCCGGCAGTGAAGATGTATGCGATGGGAATTGGAAAACTTCCGGATTCGATTGGGTGTTTAGGTTCGATGTTGATTTCAACGAGCGGTCTTCGTCACCTTCGCCCTCGCCATCCACATCAGCCTCACTGGCATCATTTGTGTCGCTCGCCTCGCCAAATACTTCAGACTTTTTTGCTTCCTCGGTCGAAAGGATGCTTTCGCAACTAGAGAATGAGATGGAGCTAAGGTTCGGGGATATATCCTCAATCTGAGTTAAATCAATGACTCCTTCCATATCCTCCGCATGGGTTCCAGCGAAAAAGTGGTTATTGCAATGCATTATGGCGCCCGAGTTAATGGATGTGACCAATACCTTATTGAGGCGTGTTTTAGCCTCGTCTTGCTTCGGCGCCGTGTCCAACGCTTCACAAAACTGCGCGATCAGCATCTTGTATGGCACTGGTTCCAGGTTCTTGCGCAGATATTGCAGCACGTTATCAGCATTTATATCGGCGTGCGCTGTGTCAGTCATTTTTAAAATGTTTGACGCGAACAGACTTTGAATAAAAACAAATTTTTTATTTGAAAAAGATTACGATTTTCAGTCTTCGAAAAAATATTCGACTATTTAAGTTTTTTAAAATTCGTTTCGATTTGTACGAGATGCTCGAATTAAATGAGGAGCATTTTCAGCTCTGCTGGTAGCTTCAATCTGGGTGCGACAGCTTTGACGTGGGTCACTTTGATGTCAGAAATATCTTCAACACAAACCTGAAGTCGAATACGGACACCATATCAGCTTTCATTGTTTACTTTTATAATTTTAACATCCTTTTCAACTATTCCACACCCGAAAGCAATTTAAATTCCTCCATTCTACCTAAAACCCCAAATCCACTCAGCATAGTGGATTTTAGGCAATCAGGTGAGCTTTCCAAAATCATTAAGATGTTAAATTTTGAAAACAGGTTTAAATCCGATCGAATTCAACTTAAACCTTAGCTTCTAGAACCTTTAAGCCGCAATTTTTCACCCAGGGTTGGATACTGCGCACAGCGCGAGTAGGATTCACACAACCGTATTCCGCCAATTTTCCACAGTTGTCGGTGGATGTTTCTAAGCGTTCATTTTCATCACATACATCACTACATAACAGGTTACTGCAGTAATTATTGTAAAAAGACAACATGTTCTAGACGTAGCTACGTTTGGCATGACACATAAATTCATATTTAAATACATACTCGCACACATGCAAAAATACACATACACACATAAGTACATATACTTCCATGCATACATAAATACACTTAAACGTACGAACTTACAAATATTACCAAAAATACAAATACATACCTTAATATTAACTCAACACTTTGAAAAACAAACTTATAGTTGAAGCAAGAAATACTGCCAGGCTTACTTGAATTCATGAGAATCGAGGAGTAAAGCATTACTTTAAAGTACATTGCATTTAAATTAACAGCGTAGCTTGAATTCAACTATATATACATACATAAATACATGTATCATACATACATGCATATATCAAAACATACAAGCATACGAACATACACACATATATCTCTATATACATATGTTGACACATGCTGCAATTATGCATACATATGTTTATGCATGCATCCATTCCAAAAAGTGAAATTAACTTAGTTTTAACGTTGTAAACATCACATTTCCACGCAGTTTTCGCCCGTAAGTATTGGTAGACTTCTCCGAATCGTTGGCACATGTTTTTAATAATTCGTGATGTAAAGTTTGAAGCATGAGCTTGAAGCCGATCAAAAGAGCCGGAGCTATATATATGCATGAAATACTTCCATTGTGGTGCAATGGTTTTTTGTTCGGCTTTATTATACATCTTTATTAAACTAGAATATATAAAATCGCATGAGTGCATTTCTTTCAAGCACATTTGTTCATTTTTATTTTTATTTATTTTCTGTTATTGACTCTTAGAACTTAGGCTTAGGCCCCAACTTATGACTACGACCCGGTCAGCCCGGGCCCCTAGGCGGCGGAGGAAAAAAAAACCAGTGACTAAAATAAATACAACACACACACACGCAGTAACGATAGGGATTTTGTTATGGTAAATGATACTATTTACATTGGCCAATCAGGGGGACCAGGGGCCAGTTAGACGGCCAGGAAGTCGCGGGGATCGCCAATTTTGGGACTGAGACGCACCACCACCTGATCATCGCCATCGCCGACTTCGAGGAACGAGTTCCAATCGGCTAGAAAATAGAAGCCGTTTTTCTTTTTGGGCGGCGGGGGCTCCTCGGACACAGGATCGGGCCCGAACGAGTCGGCCAGATCATCCAGCGAGCCATTGCGCGACTCCTCCGTTGTCGAGGAGCTGCTGCTGGCCTCAGTTGTGGTGCTCGTAGAGATGTCTGCATCGCTGCCCGCTACAGCATCGGTCTCTCCATCGCTGAGTCCCAGATCTAGGCTAATGCGCGTTGGCGCCTGCGTCGTAATTTGCTCCTCTGGCTCCAGTGTAGTTGTGCTGGTGGTGCTGGCGATGGTGCTGCTGTTGTCCAAGCTCTGTCTACGCGGCTTTGTGGTATCAATGCCCGGTGGTAGCGATTGCAAATAAATAGCATCCATCTGCGATTGCGAAGCTGGTTTCATCTGGGCCAGGCTCACGTTGAGCAGCTGTAGCTCCTGCAGATTGCTGATTAGACGCTGCAGTTCACTCAGATCAGCTCCTAGCTCTGGCTGCTCTCGGGCCTCCGCTTGGGGCTCCGGCTTGGCCAGCTGATAGTTGAGCTCACTGAACTCGGCCATCAGATCGCCATCCAGTACGCCATCCTGTTCGTCCCCCACCCCCAGCTCCATAGCGTCATCGCTACGCCGGCGGAAGCCACTGCCCGCACCCAGGCTCAAGGGCTGCTCCGTAGAGACACCAATGCGATTGGCTGCCCGCTTTATGGCCGCTTCAATGATCTTCGTGGCACTGAACACGGGCAGCTCCACGCTGCTCTCTGTAGTGGGACTGGGACGTGGCGGCCGTGGTGATGCTGGCTTGCTGGTGGTGAGCGAGAAAACCGCCGGTGAAGATGAATCATGGGTTGGTGATGGCGAAGCCAATGGTGCGGGTGTTGTTGTTGTTGTGCTGGTAGTGCTGCTGGTGGTGCTGGTGCTGCTGGTGGTGCTGGTGGTGGTGGGCTGTGACTGGAACTGGCTTTCCAGCTGCTGGGATAGCTCATTGGGCAGCGCCACGCCCAGTTTCTGTAACTGTTGCGTATTGTAGAGAAGTTTCTGCAGCTCAGCCAAATCGGATTGCTTGGGCGTTGGCCTCGGCGTGGCTGGTGCCGATGGAGCTGATGGTACTAACGGTGCGGGTGGTGCTCGTGGTGCTGGTGGTTTTGCTGGTAACACCACCGGCTGCTTTTGGCTAATCGATGCTAATACTGGCGCCGGTGTCACGGTCTTATAGATGGGCTGCATGTGCTGATAGCTTTGACGCTCGCCATTGTCCTCTAGGCTGCTGAAGAACTGTTGATAGTGCTTGAAGTCCTGATCCTGATCCGGATCCCGGCTCTGTTGTGGATTAGCTGGCTGTGACATGGCAAATTCGCGCAGCTCCTCGCTAGAGGTCAGGTCATGCCTTGCTGGCAAGGGAGTTGTATACGCTGCTGCCGGTTGCCTATAGACGGGCAGTTCCAGCTTCAGATTTGATTCCGTATCAGCCAATGCAGCTGGCTGTGCGTAGACAATCTGTGCGTCGTTCAAGCTTTTCACATTTTGGGTGCGCACAGAGGCGGCGGTTACCAGCTGATGGCTTGTTGTCGGGCGCGCCTCCTGCAGCTGGACACGCTCCAGCTCCTGCACCTTGCTGAGCAGCTTCTGCAGTTGCACATAGTCCTGCGGCTGCACATCCTGCAGCAGGCCATTGCTGCGCTCGAAGCTGTTCAGCGGTCGCCGGCGCTGTTTGGCCGTTGAGGCGGCCGTCGAGATTTCCACTTGGCCAAAGTCCTGGCTCAGTATTAGCGGTGAGCCGGCCAGCTGCTGCAGCTGCGCATAATCATTGCTGGGCAGGCCCAGGCTAGGTCCCAGACTAAGTGCGGCGACATTGCGCGTGCTAAAGCCCGGCGTGGTCGGTTTGGGCTGTTGCAGCTGCTCCAGCTGCTGCACGCGTGTTATCAATGCCTCGAACTGTGCGTGATCCACGGCAGCTGCCGCTTTGGTGGGACGCGGCGTCGTCGTCGTCGTCGTCGTTGTCGTCGTCGTCGACGTCGTCGAGGAGGTGCTGCTGCTGGTGCTGGTTGCGCTGGTGGTCGTTTTGCTCTTGGCCGCCTTCTTGTTATTCCGGGCCTGCTCATAGAGTCGTTCCAGCTCGCTGTCATCGCTGAGCAGACGCTGCAGCTGGAGCAGATCCGCAGCGCCCAGCCTGCTGGCCTGCGCCGTATCAAGGCCAAAGCCTAGACCTATTGGCAGCTTAGGTCTCGACGTGGTGCTGGTGGTGGTGGTGGTTGGCTTGCTGGCGGCCTTGCGCACGGCATTCGCCTGTTCCAGCTGCTGCAGCTGACGCAGTATAAGCTGCAGCTCACGTGCATCGCTGTTGGCCGGCTTGGCCGTGGTGCTGGTGGTAGTGGTGGTGGTTGTTGGCGGCGCTGTGGTGCTGGTGTCGCTCACGCTGAAACGATTGCTGAGCGCATGGGTGTTGGGATTAGTTGCCTTCAGCACATTCTCGGGATTAATCTTTAGCTTCTCCAGCTCCTGCAGATTCTGCAGCAGCTTGGACAGCTCATCCGTTGAGCTGGCCGGGTTCTGGTGGTTGCCTGTGTTCGCAAAGTTGATGTCAATGTTGGGATCAATGCGGCGCCGCGGCTTTTTTGGCTCTATGAGCAACGGAGCACCATGGGTGATAAGCTGTGCCGTCGGCAGCGATGTGGGCGGCGCTGCTGTTGTTGTTGTTGTTGTGGTCGTCGTGCTGGTGGTACTGGTGGTGCTGGTGGTGCTTGGTGTTGTGCGGCCACTTTTCGTTTGCAGGCGCTCCAGCTCCTGCAGATTTTCTAGCAACTTAGCCAGCTCCGCATTGCTCTGTGGCGGTAGCCTGGCGGTTGCTGTAGATAGCTCCGTGTGGGCGCCCGTTGGCTCCGCCGTGGGCTGAGCTTTCTTCAAAGCCTTCGGCGACTTCTTTACAATGCCAAAGCGCGTCAGATAGCCCTCGACCTCGGGCTTCACACGCAGCTCCTCGCCAATGTTGAGCGGCTTGAAATTGGAATAGGCATCCGGTCGGATGCGTGCGCCCTGCAGTCCGCGTAAATCCGCCACAGCCACTACGGGCTGCGGTGCACTTTCCGCCGGATAGTAATCGTCAATGGCATAGCGCTTGTGAGTGGACTGACCGTTGCCGCCACCAGCTCCGCCCACAATGCCCAGACTCTCTAGAATGTCCGCCACAGGCTTGACTGTGCTGCTGGAAGTGGCCAGGGCCGGCTTCGGCTTGCGCAGAAACTGTGCATTCTTGGCGCTGTAATGCGAGCTGAAGCGCTGGCCGCTCTGCTGAGCAGGGCGAAGCGCCGTTTGTGTTAACTGTGTCTTGGGGTAGGCGTAAGCCTGCGGCACATTGGTAACCGGCTGGAAGTCCATGCTAGGCTTGGCCAGCGATGGAGCCAACTGGTACATTACTGGCGCCGGCGCTGGCGGATGATATGTAGTCGCTGTGGGCGCCGGTAACAGCTGCTTCTGCAAATTGGCATAGGCTGGCTTGTAGGTGGTGGCAGCCACAGCGGGATTGCCGCCGGGCACTGTGCTGCGCGGCATGGCACTGGGATCGGGCGTCAGAAATTTTATTGGATTGGGTGGCGTATAGGCGTCAATTACCCGGGTCACCGGCGGACGCGTATACAGCTCCTGCAGATTCTCCTCGGTATTGTTGTCCGTATTATAGGGCAGCACCAGCATCAGAGCACGCATGCTGTCCGCTCGGCTCATGTCGCCCGCCTCGATGCTCTTCTCGTACTCCTCGCGCGTCACCTTCTCGTACAGCTCCTCGATTTCGCCGCTGTCGATATATGCAAAAGAAGCAGAAACATGCCCGCTTAGTTGAATTGTTGCCTTCCATGGCTAGCACTTACCGTGTCAGCCTGGGCAGCGCCGGATCATTGGCCAGTATTTTCTGCACCTCGTCAATTGTCTGCTCAATCTCCGGTGGCTGGAAGAAGCTCTTGTCCAGCTGCTGCACATAATTGGCACCACTCTGCTGTCCCTGCTGCTGTATCGTGGGCAATGCCCCAATTCCCCCCATCAGCATTGTCAACTGCAGCAGCTGCAGCAGCAGCAGCGGCGGCAGCGGTAACTGTGCAATCCTCATCCGGACTGAACTGCTCATTTTGGAGCGCTGCAAATAAATGATGCGATGTAAGGGATCTTCAATGATTTCGTGGAATAAGCGCTTCCGATATTTGTTTTGGACACAATCGATGGCTGACTTATGGCGAACAGGAAGTCCAATCTAATCCATGGGGGCCTCCAACCGCGCGTGCCTGTTGCATGCATCTTGTCTGAGCTGAGATTCGTGCCCGTGTATAGGGGAGGCTCATCTTAAAGTTCTGTCTGTCTGTGGGCACAGCAACCGGCTGAATTCTCGCCGTCACCAAGGTGCCTCCACTCACTCAAGATACTCCCGCCCCAGCTCAATTGAGCTAACCTTGCTCATTAGGTCTTTCTGAGTGAGTCTGCTATTGAAGGCTCCGCACGAGCCGAACACGAGATGAATTGCTAGGCATGGCCCTACCTACGTACCGTCACGAACTAACTAAATGTTTATAATATATATAAATGCACTTTTATTTTGTTTTCATGCATAACTATGTTGCTCTTTTCCTGTTCCTGTTTCTGTCCTGTGTTGTGGCACGCCAACCCAGTTTAGTAATCCATGCAGCAGACGAAATCAATCACAGAGTTTTTATTTAATTAATTTATTTAAACTTTTTTCAAATATCACTTTTACCGTCCTCTTTTCTCATGAATTTAATTTGGGTTTTTTGCACCGAACAGCTTCTTGTGTATTCGCTTTACACATTTCATTTTGTTGTTGTGTGTAAAAAAAAAAATTAAAACAAAAAGCAAGACTTAATAATAATATGAAATAATAAAAAAGTGTGTTTTCGACCGATTTCGTCTATATTGTGCCTTTTCGTGTTTGCACGAATATGATTTTTAAACTTGTCCCGCAGATCGCAAGCCCCGGCGCGGCCCGGGCCTACCGCTAGCTCGATTTGGGACACATCTACTAGTTCAAGTGCTCTGCTCAGACCTTGTGGCATAACAACCATTTGAGGCTTGGCGAGCTCACGTAGCTTCCCCTGACCGGTAAGGAAGAGACATGCGAGCGGAAAGGCTAGGCCAACTTGGCTGATTCAGAATAACTACTTATATGTACCTAATGGAGACGAAGAAGGAAGACTCTGCCCGTGACAGACCTGCCTAGAAAACAATTTGAAGATACTTTTATTATATTCATATCATTATAGAGTAGAGAATTGAAAGGAATCTGTCAGTTTATAAGAAACAATCAATAGGAAAACTAAACACGTTGACGAGGAATGCGGAAATCTGTTTGACTTTGGAGGAAGTTATGCTGCATGTGAAGAATGCACTGAGCATTTATTTAGAAACGTCACGAATCGAGACAATTTAGTCAGCATTGCGGCAAGCTGGACTTTAAAACTGGCTGCTGGATCATTCCAAGACTATTTCGAAATGACAAACAGCGCCTAAGTAGCAGTCCGAGCCGTAGTTAGAGTTCCATTTCCAGTTACAGTTTGAGCTCCAGTACGAATTCCAGTTGCACGGCAGCGGACAAGTTGCTGGGACCATTTAGAATGCGCGGCACGTAGTCAGGTTAGTCAGTTGTTGGAATTGTTGGAGGCATCGAGCCAGAGCCAAATACTTTGGCCATAAGCGTTGCCGCGTTGTGTGTGTGTTTATGTTATAGTTTATGAGTGCTTTTTTGCCCTCTCTTTCTTGCATTCATTTTGACAAGATTATCTAACAGTTCATTTTGCTAACGGCTTCGCTGCTGGACACTAACCATGTCAACGTTGTCCACGTAGACGATCAACCATATTTTTCGTTGCCGTCGTCGCTTTCTACGGCAGTCTGTTAATTTATGATTTAACTACGGTAATTAAGTGAAAATTAAACGCTTCGATAGGCTGCAGCCGGAGTACCCGCACTTGCCCAGACTGGCTGCAATGGACCGCAAAAAGCAGTTCCGCACAATCAGCCAAGAGCTGGCCAAGATCGACATCGGCAGCGGCATCGTCAATGCCTCTTGCGTCACATTTGCCCAGGAGGATCTCTGCCACTTGTCCTCACTGCCCCCTCCCCCCTCTCTCTCTCTCTCCCTCTCTCTCTCTCAATCACTTTGTTGTTCGCCACAATGATTTTGCAAAATAAATCATAATAAACTAATCGATTTCAATTTTTTACTTTAAGCTCAAGTAACGCCTGCCCCCGCTCCCATCACCCCTCGTTCGTTATTGCAAATATTTTCCTTTTAGGCATTTTATATTCATTTTCAATTTTCAACAAAATCTATTTGGTAACTTTCCAGATTATTCAATGATAATATTAATTTGTATATTTGTCGTCTTGTTGGTTTCTGGCTGTCACTTTTGACAACAATTTTGTACATTTTGTTCCGCCTTGCACTTGGCGGAAATCGACTTGGCAGTTAAACAAATTGTATACCATTTCATTTCACAGTCTTTTATTGTGCAGACGGTAAAACTCGACTGCATATGATATGCTCTAATGTCGCTCGGTTGATATTCAATTGGTCGGTCAGAGGGCCTCAATTAAGATATAGATCAAAGCTGGCTACCGCTTGTATTGTAGTTAATGAAAAGCGTTAATGCCAGTGATAATGATATAATTGCAGCCACATGCATTGATACGTATGCGGTAAACCACAAAAAACAAACTTCAGTTAATTTAAAAAGTTAACAACTATTTGAAGCAAGTTTCGATTTGTTCTTCAAATAATTAAATTATATTTTTTGAATACAATTTTGAATACAATTTAACTCCTCACTCTGCTTATCTAAACAACTTTTGAACCTTTGAACTGTTTTTGTTTTATTTGATATTTTTTTCTTTTTCGCTTTTTCTTTAAGGCTATTCATCTATGGCGAACAGCAAGCAATTCCAACATAGAAAACCTGCAAAGGTACCAGTCTATGACCCTAAGAACTTTTACAGGTGCTTCTTGGTATATGAGCAACTATGATATACATTAAGACCCAAACATGTCCTTTGTAAGCTATATAAACCGATTGCACAATTATTAGAATAACTTAGCTCTAGATCTTGGCTGTAGATCTTATTCATGCTTTATCTTTTAAATAACGTCATAAATTAAGCTAAGATTAATAAACATCGGAGCTTGTATACATTGGAGCTTAAACAATTCCGACAAATTTCATTGTAGAGTACAAATATATTTTCTAATACGGTTTTTATTGCTTCTCGCTGGCAATAATCGTTTTATCAAAGACTTTTCATGCACTCAGGTTTCGCAATTTGTCTTAATGCCTCAACTAGTTGAGTTTTGCATAGTTTTCCAAGAGTTTAACAGAGTTTTTCACATATGGTTTCAATTGGGGTTTTTTCAACTTATTTTTTTTTATTGCATTTCATGGTTTTTGCAATTTGCTTCAACAATTAAGTTTTTCTGCGTACAACACGTCGCATACGTAATTCAAGTTTTGCATATTTATTTGTTGCAGTAGCCAAAGCAAAATTCGATTAAACTTCAAATGTGAAAAAATGTATTTTAATTAAATAATTGCTGTCGCTATGCGTGTCTTTCTGCATGTGTGTGTGTGTGTGTGTGTGTTACATTGGCCACAATCAAAACGCAAATAATTTGTCTCAATTGCGCCAACAGACATAACAACAATTACAACAATAACAATAACATTAAATGTGAGCCAATCTTTGGTGAGTGCATTTCCAATCCGCCGCCGACGGCGACGGCGGCGTCACTGAAGCGCATTAGACGTCAACGTCGACTGCGCTGCCGCCACTGGGTATGTGTGCCCGTGTTTGTGTGTGTGTGGCAACAATTAAGTTGCTGTTAAGTAATTTTTTGTGCCGTTTGTTATTGTTATTAACTTTATAAACTAAATGCATCACATTGTCTTCCCATATGTTTACATATACATATGGATATGCACAATGGCCTACTCTCTGCGTGGAACACCTCGAAGCAATTAAAGTGATTCGTTTTATGATTGTTTGACATTTTAATTTCATTTTCATTTTACTTAACATTCCGTTTGTTATTCAACTTGACACATTGTTAAACCATATTCGACGGAAGTGAAACTGTCGCAGTGCTTGGGTTTAACAACTCTGACATATGCTGTGCACCTCGAATAGGTAATAGACTAAGTAGAAAACGTTTCAAATATTCGCTTTATGGCTTTGTTAATGTCTTAAATAGATTAACTTTAGGTCAACAAAATTGTTAAGTATTCAAGAGTAGTATACTCCCGAACAAATGTTAAAACAGCAAACTCAGAATTTTGATTAAAACGAGATAATAGTTAGGCCCAACAAAGCTTTAATGTGCTTTAAAAGCTTTCGTATATAGCTTAACTTGAAGCTTAACTTAACTTTACAATTTGAGATTATAATGACATTAAAAATCTGATAGTTGACTCTTTTCGGTAATTTTGAGATTTGAAGCTTTAATGTGCTTAAAAAGCTCATTCTGTACAACTAGAGAATGGAATGCAACTATATTTGTTAACAAGTTTTTAACAGTGAAGGATTATACAGTTTTAAAATTGTAAGCTTGACAACTTCATGTGCTTTTAAAGCTTCGTATATTCAATTTTGCAAATAGTATGTATAATTAAACCTTTCATCTAACATATCCAGCTCAAGCAGAGCTTATTCTTATGTAAATCATGAGATGAGTATTAAAGAACTGTGCCAAATTTTCACGGTTAATGATTAACCGTTACTTTCAAATCAAATGATAACTAACTACTTGATAAATGAGAGCTGGCATTGCAGTCAGCTAGCCCTAGGATTGGCATTAGTTTAGCCCTGAACTTTTGCGTGCAACTTTCTTGACGCCAAAACACACTTGACCTCTGTCATTACCAACAATAACATCAACTCTTGAGTACAACAACATTAACAACGTAATTTAAGTAATCACCACATTACGAGCTGAGGCGAGCACCAATTGACTTGCAGCTTTTTTGCCATTGTCCATTGTTTCTAGTCGGTCATAGAGAGAGAGAGACAGAGGCAGTGAATCAAAGAGGAGAATAGAGGGAGACAGATAGACCACTTCATTAGCTTAGTTAATCAAGAGCACCAGAGTACTCTGGTAATTTGGTTTGTAATTAAAGTGACCTTCAAGAGACCGAGTTAGTTATTTCTAATGGTTTTTTTCTTCGAGAAAATACTACAAGGCAATCAATTCAGCTCGTGTGAAATTCAACTGGGTTAGACATAAAACATCAAATGCATGTGCCGCACCCTTTTATCAACTTTTATCACATTGACTGTTTAAAGAAAGTTTTTCTTACAGAATTGTTAAGTCAACATAATTTATGACACAGCTTTTCGGTTTGTCACGCTTAAACGTTTTCTTAAAGATCAATTTGATCTATGTTTGATCCAAGTTTGATCTCCGTTTGATCAATGTTCAAATGTGAAATGTAAAAGTCGATGGTTAAAGCTTATCATAGCAAAGCTATTTAGGACAGGAAACTCATATACTTATGTATAGTCAACATTTTTCACCCATCGTTCATATAACCTTTGACCTGCATTTTATATCCAAGAGCAGTAAATTTTTTAAAAACTATGAATCACATATTAAACGAATTGACATATAAGTAATGTATCCTCTATTGTGTCAGAGTCTTGGCGAATCGACATGAGTGGGACCAGCTTGTACTTCTAGGAAGCCGAACGACGACTGGACTACGACCAGATCCCATGAGGCACAGAATTCATGAAAAGAAAAAGACACTCAGGCAACTGACGAATTATTCGGATTTTGACAATGTTCTATTCTAATACAAACTGTGCAAGCCGCTCAAAAATCTCAAAATTGTGAAAGGTAAAACATGCAGAATCGACCAAAGACCACATTCTAAAAGATTATCCAGCCTTATGTAGGTTAAGACTTCCCAGCTGTCGGAGTCAAGCGCTTGATACTAGAGAAATGAGAGCATTCAAGCCACAAAAAATATTATGGGAATGGGCAAAGATCTTTTAAGATCATTTATTAGTGAGAAACTAAATAATAGGCCAGGCAGCCAGAGTGCATTTTTTATCATGGGTAAAGCGCTGTACAGAATTTTTGAAATTTCTTATCTAAAATTTACAAAAGTTATAGCGAATATAATAAATTAATTCCCAAAAAGGTCAAAAACAAATATGTCAAAATACTTAAAATTTGCCCAGAACAATCCATTTCAGTTAAAGGGAGCTTGTCTCTGGTTCAGACGCAATTAAATGCTGTTGCATAGTTTAATTAATAAATATGATAATACTCTAAGCGAAAGACTTAAGTCGCAAACTTGCTGCAAATTACGCTCAAGTTATTAAGCGCCTTCTGTTAGTAATCTGGATTAATTAAGTTTAATGAAATGTAATGCTTCAAAATGGGCTAGATGTTAAGGCAGCAAATCTATTGCCAAGTAATATACTTTTTCATAAACAAAAGACTTAAGACACAAACTCGCCGCTATTGTCATAATGTTTTTAAGGTGTTTTTTAACTGATAAGGTCGTCAGCTACCATTTCCGGTACAAACAGTTGAGAAAGCGCCGCTGGGCTTCCAACTGCTAACTGCTGACTGCTGACTGCTGCCTGCTCTCACTTTAGTCAATTAGTCAGTGGCGACAAGTCGCGTAAAATTCATCAACTTCAAGCAGCGCTGCGCTTCATTAGCCAGCTAACAGTAATGGACCGAGAGAGAGAGAGAGAGAGAGGGGGAGGGAGGGTGAGAAATTTAGATGGGCAGCCAGTTAGAAAGAGACAGGGCAACTTATACGCACCACTTTTACTGCAACTTGTTACAAAGGCTTGTTGTTTTCAGCTTTTGGGTTGCTTGATTTTTTTTATTCATTTTATTTTTTTTTTTTTTGCAGCGGTTTTTACACGGGTTTGCTTGCTTTTCAGCCTACTAGCCGGACTGGCTTTTAGTTTATGGCAAATTTGCAAGTATTAGTTGCGGTTGCAGTAGCAGCTCTGGCAGTTGCTGCCGCTGCTGCTGCCGCTGCTGCTGCAGGCTTTGTTAGATTCTAGTTAAGCCAAGTGGCAAGCGTTGCCTACATATGACAAGTGAATGTTGTTTTGGGTGGCCGGAAAAAAGAAACGCAGACTCTTAACCAAGCCAAAAGCAAAACGAAAATCAAAAGAAAACCAAACCAGGCAGCCGGCAGCTTACAGCTGCGGCAGTAGTTGCAATTGCATTTTATATACATATATATACAAATGCTTATATATTCAGGTATTTTTGTCTGTTTGACACATTTCTGTGACGGTTTTGCTATTTATTTATTAACATATTTCCAACCACAAATATATAATAAATATATATTTCTTTCGATTTGATTTGCACAACTTTTACCCAGTCAATTGATTTGGCACCTTAAGCAAATGTAACACTTAGTTTTATTTTATTATTGGTTTTTTATTTAATTTGTCTTGTTTTTTATTTTTGGCAGTTTATTGCTGTTTCCCTTTTTATTAACACTTTCACCTGTGCCACAAGAAAAAAAAAACAAAAAAAAACAGAAACAAATATAAAAACACTTTAAGCTTTTAATGCTTTCTTTTGCTTATTAAAATTGTTGTTGCTGCCAGTTCTTTTTTATTATTTTGACGTTTATAATGTTGTTAAAAGTTACGAAAAAAGGCGTCGCTTATAATATTGCGTTGACATTTTGTTGTCTCGCTATGAATTATAACACTGTCAGCAATTGTAAAATTGTTTGTTGTCTTTGGTTTGTTTAATTTTGTTGTCAAGCATAAGGCGAAATCAGGCTTTGTAAACAATTGTTTTATATTTCTAATTAATCACATTTGCTTAATAGTACGGATGTATCCGTATATGTTTATCTGCAACTCGTAGCTATTCGGCTGATTCGATTGCCCATATAGTTGTATATTTTATCTTTTATCTTTCATCTAATAGATACGCACTCAATGCACTCATGAAGATAAGCAACAATCAACATCAAAGTAAACAACATAAAAAACAATTTCAAATCAGCTTCAGCTTAGTTTTGATGCAGCTTTTTTGGCTTGATTAATTCCAAATTCACGGCCAAATGGCAATTTTTGGCACATGTTAACTGCCCGCCCCCTTTTTTTGTAGTTGTTGTTAACAATACAGCTAAACATATAATTCTTATCAAGCAAGTCAAGTTGTGTATTCAGACTGCCCGAGGGCGCAGAATACAAATGAGTTAATGCAAACTTATGCTAATTTGAGCATTGCAACGACCGCAACACCTGGCCCCCGTCATGATGCCCACGCCTTTAGCCTGTTGGCCAGCACAGAGGCGGGTCAAGGTCATTTGGTCATTTTCCCAATTATATACAATTTCCAACATGTCGATTTGCTGTTAACACAATATGAATTTTCAATTACATTTTCAAAAATTTGGCGCTACACTGCGGCCACGCCTTGCCTGGTCACGTCTCCGTACAAATTTTCACAATTTTGTTTTTGGTTTGTTTTTTATATAAGTATATGTATTTTTCAGCCGTTAAACTTTCGTTACACAAGCACAAGAAAACTAAAAATAACAACAACAAAAATACAAATTCAAACGTGAAACTATCAAAATGTGGCTTATATGAGCACGCGACTCTAGCTCCGAAAAACCGAATCCGAATCCGAATCCGACTCTGACTACGACTTGGAGGTGAACGTGGTGTTGTAGGCTTGGCGCATGCGCGGCCTGCAGACCATTTTCAATGAGCGTTCGAATTATACTGAACGGGTTGGACCGACGCTGACAACGCTGCCGTCGACGACGTCGTCGTCACCGTCGCTGCTGTCGCCGACGCCGCTTAACTGTCTCAGTCTGTTGGGACTCAGGTGTACTGCTGCGTGCCCAACAGAGAGCGCTGCTGCGACTTCTCGAGAAGCTTCAATTGCGGCTGTGCATGGAATCTTGGATTTGAAATTCCAATTTGGATTCTGTGCCAAATTGATCTGACTCTGCTCGCTGGCTACACGCCAATGTTAGCCGCTGATTGCCAGACGAATGCTGCTGCTGTGCTGTGCTGTGCCTGGCTCGCTCGCCTTGACCAGATACACCTGTGCGACATAAGCGTTGTGTGTGCACTCCGATTGGGGGTCAGATGGCAGGGACATTCTAACAGACAGGTTTCGACAGCATCTGCAAACCCATTTGTCATACCACATTCCACATGCCACATTTCTCTCTTTGGCAGACACATCTGCATACAAATACGCATGCTGCTCCTCATTGTGACGCAGACTCGTCTTGGCTGGTCTTTCTGCTCCATTTGGGGAATATATGACCACTTGATGCCGATGCCAGTCGCTTGTTGAAATTGATTTGGATGTTGATTTCGATAACATTATGTTATGGCTTTGGATTGGTTTGCTTTGGTTTTGTTTTGGATCTGTCTTTGGTCGTGCCATTATTGCATAATGAATATATGTATATTGGGTGGAAGCCTATATATATACATATGCTTAAGTATGCATATACAAACACATACACAGATGCATACGCATATTATATATATACCGATCACATTGCACTGCGTTGCCTCTCGATGCACTCAGCCAATGGCTGCTTATTAGTGAAACTGGATCATTTCGTGCATTGTAATTCGATTTGATGCCCGGCAACTGACCAGTTGGGTTCAGTTTACGATCAGTTTGATTATTGTTTGGTGCGGCTGAGCCAAGATCTGAGAGACTGCATTGTTATTTACGATTTGAATAATAAAATGAAAAATATATTGTCTATCCGGAAGAAACGCTTACCTTTGAAACTATTTCATGATAATATAGCTATATAATAAGTAAATTTATTGCACCAGAACGAAACAGCAAGGCATAAAAATACACATAAAAGACAAAGATATACAAAATATAAAATCTGACTTTGAATCTAGAATCTCAGGCCTCTTAAAATTGCATTGCTTTTGACTTCAGACACTTCTAACATTTTGCTTTTGTCTTGAGTGGGCGAGCTAAGGTTATGAAAACAATCAAGACTCGTGAGTAAACACATAATAAACTGTTGTAATTTGTTTACTTAGTGTCAATATTTGTTTAACATACGTCTGAATATTTACTTTATATTTCGCTCTATGCCCCACTTTTGCGCTCTTCTAGCTTTGCATAATGCTACGCGGCCTGCCCTTGCTCAATACACAGCTAAATAACTATGTACATGCATATATAAATATATGTATAGCTGCCTTGCACGATTTTGCTCGAAATAATTAAAAACGATTTTAGCAACAAATTTGTAACATTTCGGCCTGGCATTTACCTGTGTACACAAAAATAAAAAGATGTTTACCACTCGGTTCGTTTCAGCACGGACCGTATCTGCCCTTTGTTACCTTTTTGGTGACAACATTTGACACAATTTGTCGCTGACGCGGCGATTTCGTTTAATAGCTTCTTCCAAGTACGTGTGTAGGTGGAATTTGTTAAGCCATAAGATACCCAGTAGACAGTACTGATGTGCAGTCAGTTTTTGTGTGCAAGAAACAGTTTACTATGTTATTAAGACTACAAAAATATATTATGAAAATCGCAGAAAAGGGCTGTATGAAGAGATTGGGCATTCCTGGAAGTGAGTGACTAAAAATAGGCTCTTACTTCTACTCTAAGCGAGTGGATGTTTTTCCTCCATCTCTCACGCAATCATTTTTCTTCTCCATATTTCTCTCTCTCTTTCTCTGCCTCCCTCTCTCTTTCTGCTCTCCTTTGCGATGCTCATGATATGATAATTCAAGTATAATTCAAAATTTTCAGCACTTTACTTCCTAATATCTCGAAGCGCTTAAGAAGTTAGTAATAAAAAAATCGGCTGTTGTAATCGGAGATCTGTCTATTGCATGCTTGATTATACCCATTACATATGGTTACAGGGTATACAAATAATCGCTTGAGTGGTGCCCAAGTTAAGTGTTGTTGTTTGCTGGATGCGTGTGGTGGCTGTGGCTGTCGCTTGGATTTTCCGAGTCTTTGGCTTGACTTTGCCCCATGCACATGAGTTGCAACAGGGGCCGGCTAAATGACACCACACAAAACGGCGACATGACTGCCCAAACCAAAGTTGCTGCTGGCTCAAAAACAAAAAACGTAAATTGCTTTACGAACTGGCTAAGTGCATGTGCAAAAAAAAAAAAAAAAAAAAAAAAAAAAACGTGGCCCATGCCCAGACCCAGTTGGAGTGTGGCACGCGGAGTCTGCGTAATCGTTGCACAGCATTTTGCATCTTTGATAAGAGACGGGCGTTGGTTTGTCACTCATCTTCAGTTGTTGTTTGTTGTTTGTTGCTGCTGTTGTTGTTATTGTTTTTTGCTTTTACTTTATGGCGGACATTCACTTTCTCCGCATGCCTTTTATTTGACTTTGCTGTTTGCTTTGCTAATTTTTGGTCTTTTTAAAAGTGAAACAACAAGCGGAGAGAGCCAGAGAGAGAGAGAGAGAGAGAGACGCTTTTACGATTATGCATTGGCGTATGCAAATTTCAGCGAATATTATTCAATCGACTGGCCATGCTACAGCCGCACGCAACGCTTCTAATCGCTCAACTTTAAAGCGATTCTCAGCCTCAAGCGCTTTCAGCTGATGGCACAATTTGGCACGATTTTGAGCGGGCTTGCATCACATGTTGTTGGTGTAAGCGCATTGCGTGCATTGTGCTCCAATTCCTGCGATAAGTACGCATAACAAAAATAACTGCCAACAACAGCAGAAGAAGAAGACGAATCAACAGCAGCGGCAGTAACAACAGCAAGCGACAAGCAATGCCAAGTTCGTTGCCTAAGTCTTTTGTTAGCGGGCGTCGAATTGATGTCAACGCAGCGCCAAGTGGCGCACTTTACGATGCGATCTTTTAACTCATTCACATGGCCATAAAGCACCCAATCAATCAGTGGCCCGAGCGGTGCCACAACTCATGCCTTAAATGCCAAAGTCACAGACAGTGCTAATTAACATCGCTCGTTCCAAATCGTATGCTTAATATATGTGCAGTCGAGTGCAGTTAAGGCCGTGGACGCAGTCTCTGCCCGACTCGTTCGTGTCATCTTCATCTTCTTGGCCAGCCCGTTTACTTGTTTGGCCTGGGTTTGTTTTGCTTTCGAGCTGTCCAAGTGAAAGGCCTCCGGTGTGTGTCGAGCAGTTTTGTTACCATTTACTATAAGGGGTATTATGATTTTTACCGATAGATAATGTATGAACAAAATCGCTGAGTAACAAACAACTTTATCGTTGGCTTCGATTGCTTGCAAAAAGGTTGTTTGAATATTTTCCATATTGAATTTCTTAAAATAGTTTGCTTTTGCCAGCTCAAAGCTTTTTCAATAATAGAAATCTTAATATAAGCAAGATGAACTACTTATATAATTTGCACTTTCATACACAATAAAAATTGGTCACCGAGATGTCAGTCAACATATGATAATTTGGATAACATCTTTTCCAATTTTACTTTAGAAATAGTAATTGTTCACTCCCTACATATTGTGTGCACTTCCCTAGGGTATCCGATCTTCAGCAAGCATTGTACAACGTGTTCATCTCGTTTTCATATTCGCTGTTTTTGTGCAGTCTTTGGCTTAGCGCCGCTCAGCTATAAATCGAATTGAAATTAAAATCTCTCAAGACGCAGCAGCTTATGCGTCGCTTACATAAGGCAAGACCGCTCCGGATCCGACCGGCAACAGACAAGCAAACTTGGAAACACTTCGAAGCGCTGGCTGCAGTTGACTCATGCAGCTGGCCGATGTCCAGTGCCCACCCCATTCAAAATCAAGCAGGAAGGAAGCATACCCAAGCGTTCACTTTGCATGGCCAGTTACTCAGAGTCGCGGCGACAGAAATCAAATTAAAGTTTAGTCACAGTTTTATTTGTATCAAGTGTGGACGTTAATCTTGGTATATTTCAATCAGTTATATTTTATTTACGTGCTTTTTGAGTTTTGACTGCCGACTAAAAAGTAGGCGAAGGTTAAATTTGTTGCCTTTCATGTTGGTTTTGATTTCAATTTTATATATGAGGGAACTAAAATTTATTGCAGTTTAGTATGCTAAAAATATTTAAATTCGATTCAAACAGTTCCAGCACACAGCTAAGTTTTTGTCAAAAGCCAAGAAGACATGTATGAGATATGATATATGATATAATGTATAGATGAATACACCTTACTGTATTGACTAATTCATTTTGAAGTGCAAAACGGTTACTCTTTATTTGTATGTTGTTTAGCTACAGCATGAATGATTTTTTTAATTATAGATCCTATGTATATCAAGAAGAAATAAAAAAATAAAGATAGTTGCCATCTACGAATAGGAATGCAAACTAGAAAATTATTTTTCGCTTCTCGGTCTCCCCTAAGTTCAGAAGGTGAGGCCAACTATATTTACTTTTATAGATTTACTTTCTAGAGTAGTTACAGACAGGCGGGTGATGCAAAAAAGACTTTCGAAAAGTAAACAAAAAGGCGCCACAGCTCTATTTATCTATCGTATCGAAAGTGACAATCGAAATGAATGTCAATCGGCAGCAATCGATAGCTTGCACAACTGAAATGCGTGTGCACAGCTGTTCGCTGTGTTACATGTGGTCGTGTGTATGTGAGTGTATTTATTCATAACCAAGAGAACAAATCGAGTCACAAAAAAAGAAACAAAAACAGAAGAGGTAAGCAACAATAAATATACGGCTAGCGCTAATTGTGTTACAATTTGAATACTCTTCAAAACATGTACATACAATAAACCTAAATAAAATTGAGCACTCCAAACGGAACATGAACAAAGTGCGACAAGCAGTAAAGTGTGTGCGTACGTGTGTGTGCGTTAGAGATGGTAAACGCTGCGAGTGATATGTGATGATGAGACGAAAGTAACTTATGAAAATGCAATCCCTATAACAATGGAGCAGTTACTTAGCAACTAATGCCCTTTATACAATTTATTAAATATTTTAATCAAGCCCTAATGAAATTAAAATCGATTTAGTTATAAATAAGTTTGGATTAATACACTTTAATAGGACAAATCTCTTGTTGCTTTTATCCCGCTACATTATTTTTCAGGAACTGTGACTTATTACCGATAATTGCGATTGGTCACAGGCACATTAACATCGCCCATCGCTTGTGGAGCTGTATGAGTGTGTGTGTGTGCGTGTGTGCGGGTGTGTGAATGAAAAACTTGCAACTGTGAAAATATAACCAAAAATAAAGGCGATTTTGTCTTGAGTGCGTTGACTCCCCGCCAGCGACAGTGACGTAGCCCATCAACAGCTGGGAAGTTGCAGCAGTTGGAGCAGGTAAGCATACAACATACCCTATTAACCGCTCACCAACCAGTGCACTCAGCTGTGTCCTCCTATTTAGAATTAAAATACTGCTTTCGTTCAGCAGCAGCGACTCGGGCGGCCATGGCGGACACGGCGACAGCAGCGACAACTGCGGCGGCCTCCAAGAAAAAGTACAGAAATAAAAAGAAAATACAGCAGCAGCAGCAGCCACCACAAAAGTCAGAAGCAAAGCCAGCACAAGCAGTCAAGGCTATTGTGCACCAGGCAAATGGGCACGTCGTCCAGTCTGAGACTGATGAAGCAAATGTGTCCTTAATCAATGGCATCATGGAGCAGGTGCAACTGTGCAATGGCCATGCCAAGGAAGGGGCCAAGGCAACAGCTGAGCCAATGGCTGGCACGGCCCCAGTTGCGGCCACTGTTAATGGCCATGTCAATAAGAATACTGCTATCAACAACAACAATCACATTAACAATAACAACATCAGCAGCAACAACAACAACGATGTCAACAACATCAACACCGGTAGCCGCAACAGAAGCAATAATAATAATAGTAGCAGCCGCAGTAAGGCGAAAAACAACAACAAGTCCCAAACATCGATCGAGGAATCGGAAAGCGGGGAGCAGGATCAGCAAACGACAAGCGTATCAACAGCAGATACTGAAATAGCGACAAGTAAAATCACTGCCAACACACCCACAACAACAGCAAACATTATGGAGGCCTGCGCCCAGGACGAGGCGCCTTCGACATCAGCAGCTGCTGCGGCAGCCGTTGCTGAGTCAGAGCCCCAACAAGAACAACAACAGCTCCAGCTTGAACCTGCCATTTCAGCCGATGAGATAGTCTATAAAGAATACGAAGCCGAGCATCAAATGCATGTAAGCTAACCGAGCAGATTCACAAACCAAACATGCTAACCCTCTATATTTTGCAGGATATAATGCGTCTGATACAAGCCGAGCTGTCTGAGCCATATTCGATATACACGTACCGCTATTTCATTTACAACTGGCCAAAACTATGCTTCCTCGCCGCGCACGATAATCAATATGTGGGCGCCATTGTATGCAAGCTGGACATGCATATGAACGTGCGACGCGGCTACATAGCGATGTTAGCGGTGCGCAAGGAGTATCGCAAGCTTAAAATTGGCACCACTCTTGTGACCAAAGCCATTGAGGTAAGGCTTTGATTTATCAAGAATTAACTGTGCATTTATTCAAATTGTTCAATTAAACACCATTCCAGGCCATGCTTGCTGACAATGCTGACGAAGTGGTGCTGGAAACGGAGATGCGCAACGAACCGGCGCTCCGCCTGTATGAAAACCTGGGCTTTGTGCGTGATAAACGACTTTTTCGTTATTATTTAAACGGTGTGGATGCGCTTCGCCTAAAGCTCTGGTTTAGATGAGCCGAAGCATCTTTAAATGATGTTGAAATTATTGTCTAGTGGCCGCCAAGCGAGAGCTCTAAAAAGGATGCCTTGTTTCAACTATATAGTTAAAACCCAATGTTTTCCTTGGGCTGGCTTCCATACTGTCCACAAGAACGGGACTCTTGTTTGTTTTTTTTTTTTAATATATATATATATATATTTATACATATATATGAATATTAATTTTATTAGGCATTTGTTTGTCGTTTGATTTCTTCTCACGTGGCGCATGACAAACAATCTTTTGTACCTATTAACTAGGCTTTACAATTTTTATTTTCTTTAATTAATGTATGTAAATTATTTTAATAATTTAAGCGTATGGCAACAAAAGAAACAACTATAACAGCAGCAGCCGTAAAAATAACAACAAATAAATACATGCAAATAAAAACCTAACGTACACATGCAATACGTGATTTACATACTTACATAATTGCCTAATTGCGAGTGCAGAAAAACGAAGAAAATCAGAAGCAATAACCGATTGCAATATATTGTACATTAAACACAAACGATATTACAATCTAAAGCGCATAAACAAACACACATAAACAAATAAACAAAATATTCATATTTATTTAGAACTATGTTATAAAAGCAACAACAAACGCAATACATATGTATATGAAATAAACATTGAAACCGACAACACACACACACAAGACCGCAAACATTTACATAAGTAAATAATTACAATTAATATATGCATATATATATATATATAGATATATATATAAGCATTGTGTTTTGTTATACACACACATACTTACACTCGTACTTGTATACACACAAAGAAACAAACATAAGAATATGTTGAATCAAATTGTGCGTGCTAATTTATAGCATTTTAAACATTTACACACATAGTTGAAAAAGAAGAGAACTTAAACTTAAATGAAAAGAGAAGAAAAAAAAAACAAAACTAACTAAATAGAGAAGAAATTAAAACATTGGAATGCAGCATGAGGCGCGTTGTTAACGATCAAGACTTTGCCCTAATTATAGAAAAATACAAAAAACAAGAACAAAAACTATTAAAACAAAATGAATAAATTGAGCAATTACAAAAATATGATCACAGCTCTTGTCTAAATCCTTGCAGCTTTGCGAAATGCAGCAACAATAGAAATATATTAATATAGAATTTGTTTCAGCTAAAAACACCTACAGATCAACGCTACAATTAGATTCATCTTTGAAATCGAACAATATCGTGTTGAAAATAATCAACTCAACAACTTGAAGAGCACCAAGCTAATGGAGCTAATTGCTACGATATTAACTAGGCTGGGATACTTAGCTGGAAGTCAAGATCCCAGAACAGCAGGTGGTAGATTGGCTTTGAGGGTAAACATTTTACCACGCCGTTAAACTTGAGATGCTTTTGATGAATGGCTGCAGACGACAATTCTGACTAATGATGGTTTATCATAATATATAATGTAGACAGCTGCTGACTCAAAAAACGAATCAATATAGACATCACTTTTCAACAGACAAAATACCCTTACCATGCATATGTATTAATATGTTAAGAGTCCAGCTACAAATCTGTGAAAGATATAGACACTCGCGATTTCTCCGCCCCCTATTGGGCGACTTAACGAGTCTATATAGAAGCATATCTTTTAAGTTCCAAGTCTCTTTTTACAATATACTGTTGTTCACGTTGTGCAGCGAGTATTAAAATGTGTCAACTTGGAAAAACTTGATTTTAATTTTATTAATTTAAAAAAAAACAGCTAAAATACTTAACGTTGGTAAGTGGCGGCACAAAGGGGTAGCTCTAGAGCTGCCACATTGAGCTGCACCACGGACTGTTGCACATACCTAGACACAGCTGCAACATGCTCGTACCTTGTACGCTGCATTTGGGGGGCCGTAACGCTTAACAATATGAACAACATTTAGTTAGCTAAATTTGTAGTCAGAGTTGAGTTACTTTCTAGTTATTAAGATATATACACTAATCCGGGATTTGTCTAGTGAAATGCTGCCGGTTATCACCTGCTGCGTTTGGTTTTGGCTGCGGTCGTCGCTGTCGTTGTACTGGACTCTCGCAGCTGCTTCAGTTCGTTGCGTGCGGCTGCCTTGATGCTCTGCACCTGCTGGCGCACGGTGGCGTTTTTGTAGTTTACGGCCGGAGGTGTCATCGCTGCCGTTTGGGATTTGTCAAACAGATCGCTGACCTCGACCATGCGCGGCTTGAAGAACATGTTAGGACGTATGACAGACTTCTCGGGATTTTTGAAGAGATTGAGTAGACCCCAGGATTGCTCGCGTCGCTCGCTCTCTGTCAGCGTTGTGTTCTCCACCTCGGACTCAAGCATCCAGGCAGCATTGCGCACCTCGATGCGCAGTCGCTCACATTCCTCAAGGCTAACATTCTTGCTCACATTTAACAGCTGTTCCAGCGGATTCACAATGTACATGGCCGAGTGATCCGGCTTGGCCAGGGCGCGGCCCTCATTCAGCGATATGGCACGATTGTGAAAGTCGAACTGCGAATAGAACTCAAAGAATTGTAAGAGCAGTTCGCTCAGGCTGCTCGTATTCCGGCTCTGAAAACCGACACGCTCCATGTCCCGTGCAAAGGTGCAATTGATGCCATCCTCAGTGACCCGGATGTCTGTTGCAGATGCCGCCTTCGCCAATGCCCCGATAGCTGGCAGTATAGGTTGCCGCAGCTGCTGCATGAAAAACATGACCAAACAGGTCAGCGAAAAGTTGGTGATCCAGCGTCCTGGCGAAGGATTTGTCAAGCCGCACGATTGCGCCCAGCGACGTACGCTAAAGGTCAATGGACGCACGCGCGAATCCAGCTCGCCAAACATGTACAGCAGTTCGGACATGTAGAAGCCAGTGCTAAAACACGTGAATAAAGCACATCAAGTAGGTTATAGCATCTATAGCATCCTTATTGAGATGGACACTGCTCAAAAAAGCCCTCTCAATGACAGGAAACACGGTTAGAAAATGGGTTTCAGTTAGGTTCACATGAAAGCAAAAGCAACACCACAGATTGCCTACGAACATTAAATGAGCTTGCAAAATGGAGGTCGCTCTAGACACCTTTAGCCGGCTTTGCTCGGACCTAGAGTTTTTCTTTATGCTTGAGATACATTTTTCAAGTATTTTCTGGTTATGAGCCGATATATTTATCTAATCATATTTGGTAGATGCATGTTTTGGATAGAGCTCATATTTAGCTCGCATCCTGTGTATGAAAATTATAACGAAAATACAAACGCGTAACTGAAAAGCTTTTCGGCTTTGTGATTCACATAGCCAACTTTGGCGACAGGGCGTGGCAGGTGGCACACAGGCCATCTCACCCATAATGTGGCGTTTCATTCAGAAAACTGACCACCTCCACAGACCGGATATGGTTTTTTTTTTTTTTTTTGAATGCATTGTGGGCTTAGTTTTATCAGCAACTCTGGCCGATTCGTGTCCGTGATTAAAATCCGGCGTCAGCGACAAATGTGAATCATAACAAACGGAATGTGGTGGGAGGAATAATATAATGTAACTGATTCACCTGCTCCATGGGCAAAAGAGATGGCGCTATTACCGTTATGTATGCATTATATGCGATTTGGCAATACGGCACCTGTTTCTATCTAATCTTATCAGCAAAAGCTTTGGCATGCCTCACATCTAATCTTATCTTATCTGAGTGCCTCTCGGCCTATAACAATTGCTGTCCGCCAAACTGTACTCTGGATGTTGTCATCATATTGAAAGTTTTTACTGTGACAGAGATAGATATATTCTTTTTTCATCTTCTACCATATTTTGGTCAGGTTGCTGGCTCTGCGAGCGCTTTCGGAGCAGGCAAAACGATTTCAACGAACGAACCCAACGGAGCTGTCTTCCCAGAAAGTGCGACAACGCTCTAACGGTGTATTAAATAAAGCAACTTCTTTTTTTTTTATCTGTGTGCACTAAACAATTTAAAAGGTGAAGCTAAGTATATTATAAGGAATACATTTTTTTTATAAGTGAAAAAGTGGCGGAAACAAAACTATTTATTGCATTAGAAAATTTACAACTTTATCTCTCGCATGCGAAAGAGCAAAAGTTTAAATAGTTCTAACCCTCAACGAAATGTTGGTTAAAACATGTTGAAATGTGATCAACAATAAAACAGAAAACAAATACAATTTTTTACAATTTTTGGTATGAAAATCCAATGAGTGTTGCATAGCAATTCGTGTATTAATCATGTTGTGCCTGCGAGACTTCGGGCCCGAACAAAGCCAACCAACTAATGATAACGCTATTTGTTAAACACAACGCTGATAAGGCCAAGTTGCTTCAGGCCTGGGCACATAAAATCTAAAAGAATAGAAGCCAGGGCATTGAGGTTTCGTATGATTAATGTCAGGCGTGCTAGGGGCAGTTTTTTATACTGGCAGTGACTCAACGGGGCTTATTGAAGCCAAGGCAATTGCAAGCCAAGTAGCATAGAAGAGCTGCTGGTCAAGAAACTATATACTTATAAGTCAAGTTAGTCCTGATTGACTGGTAAACTGAATGAGAGCACTAAGACAACGCCCAACCGCAGGTGGGGGATAAGATTGAATGGAAATCATTAACATGAATGCAGTCATATAAATATGCCTTGCGAACGGGACTTCATAAGCCTGTCTGGCTTAGGGTCTGAGCATCGAATGAACTAGCGGAAGGCCGCCGGTTAAAATCGAGAAGAAATTGCATTTTCAGCATAGTTCATTAAATTTCACGCTCCATCCATGACTACACAATCTATTTGAATATGTTGCTTAATGATTATTATCGTTTCTGCTCGCACAGCTTTTCAGCATGGGTATTGGCTATGGCGCCGCCGATGAGCAGCTGGAGAAACAAATCGGCTGCGTGAAATACACGCTCTTCTGCTTCAATATTATCGCCTGGATGATATCTACGGCCCTGTTCGCGCTCACCGTCTGGCTGCGTGCCGAGCCGGGCTTCAATGACTGGCTGCGCATATTGGAGGCTCAGTCGTTTTACATTGGCGTCTATGTGCTGATTGCCATTAGCATTATCATGATGGCGGTCAGCTTTCTGGGCTGCCTTAGTGCCCTCATGGAGAACACATTGGCGCTGTTTGTATTTATTGGCACACAGATATTTGGTTTTGTGGCCACGGTGGCCGGTGCAGCAATATTGCTTCAGTACAGCACAATCAACTCGAGCTTGCAGCCGCTGTTGAATGTGTCGCTCAGAAGATTTGTGGCGACATCGGAATACACGTACTCCAACTATGTGT